CATTAGGGCCCCAAACATATAAATAACTGTTATCTTAAAATTCATGCTTGATAATTCCAACGTGTGTGTCCCACCTCAGTCATTCCGATGCTCACTTTGTGTCTCTAGACGGTGTTTGTTTCTTTCCTTTGATCATGGCTTGCAGATTTTGTTAAAGCCAGGTATGTGGGTAAGAGGGACTGCAGAGGACGGCTCTCACCTGTTACTAGTGTGGGGCAGGCTAAATGCAGCGCCATCTTGAATGTACCCGGAGCTGTAGTGCCAAGGCTTTGCATTCCTCTCGTGTCCCCGTTTCTGTTTCTCCTACTGACTCGGGGCTCCATGTGTGTGCTTCCCTGGAGAGCAGCTGTAGCCATCAGCTGTTTCAGATGCAGTCCACTGCTGTCACATTGAAAATCTGCTGGTGACCTGGTGGGGGTCAGTTCACCTTCCAATTAAATCTGGGTTTCTTAGAGGGCCTGGGTATCACGGCTGTGATCTTCATGGGATTTCTCCAGTGCTATAATGTTTTTTCTCCCCACCTACAATTCCCTTCCCTGGCTGGAGCATTCTTAATCAATTTAAAGTACTGACCCTGGTTTCTGTGCTGGCTTTTGTCCCTCCAAAGTGAGCCAGGAAGCCTGGAATGGTGTAAAGTGGGTAAGAATGATCTCCTTCCAGTTTGGAAGAGGTTTTGGGACTGTGTTTTGGCTCATTCCTTCCCTGTGAGGAAGACGATGGGTGAATCTCACCAAGGGTATTCCTGCCCTTCTCTTGTCAGGGCCAGGAGGGGATGGTTATTGGATCTTCATCATAAGAACCTCACAGGGTTCCTTGAGTTAAGGACCTGGAACATGTAAGGGTCCCCATACGATGATGACTCCATGCAGTTGGTCACAACCACAAGGGTCTTCACTAACTTGTCAAAAATTACCATTTGTTTGTGTTAGTCAAGGGTCTCCAGAAAAATGGAACCAATATGCTCTATCTATTCATTCATCCACTGACATATTTGCTTTTATTTTGTTTATTTATTTATTTCTTCTGTGACACAGCAAGAAAGAGTCAGGTGCCCTCCCTAGGGTATTCACCCTGCAATTTAGCCCCAGCCTCAGCAAGTCCCATTCATGGACATTCACAGGGAGACCTCGCGGCATGAAACCGAGACCATTCTATGTAGCCTCAGCCTCACGGAGCCTGTGCTACGCTGCATCGCTGTGCAGGCTCTGTTCATCTATCGCAGCACCTTGGTTCACACAGGTACGGAGGCTGGCGAGTCTAATCTGCCGTGTGTGGGCTTGAGACCCAGGAGAAGCTGTGGTCACTGCTCTCCAAGAAGGGGGCTTACCTGTGATTCACTGCTCTCCAAGAAGGGGGCTTACCTGTGATTCACCACTCTCCAAGAAAGGGGCTTACCTGTGGTCACCGCTCTCCAAGAAGGGGGCTTACCTGTGGTCACCGCTCTCCAAGAAGCTCAGCGATTTTTGTCTGTGCAATTTGTACTGTAAGGACAGGAGTGATGACTTCCAGCTTGCTACATGTTGGAGCTAAAATTACGTTCCTCGGTTTATTTTTGGCTCATCTTATTTCTGAACACAGACCGATTTTCCTTTACCTTTTCTTTCTTTTTTTTTTTAAACTGTTTTAAACAGAGGGACGGAGGCTGTGTGCCCACAGACCCTAGCATCTTGCTACAGCATGGGTCTTCAGATTCGCAGACTGTGTAACACACTTGGAGACCAACTTTCCTTTCTTATGACAGGGTCTTGCTATATTCCAGTGTTCCTGCCTTAACCTCCCATCTGGGATCACAGGTGCACGCTAGCCCCGCCCCAGCTGCACAGCACGGGTGCATAGTTCCTACCCCATATCGGCCATGCAGGAGGACATGCTCCACCCTCCGCTGTACTGAGGACAGCCCGCGCCCACTGATCTGCACTGAACTACCGGCAGGGCTGCCATGGCTGTGGAGAGAATCAGGCACTGGACCAACAGCTTTCTCCGGCTCTAGAAATTGCACATAAATGACTAATTAAACATCCAGCTCCCCTCTGAACGACTTAACCGACAATTACGTCTTTCCTTCGTGCAACCTATCCAAGGCAGAGGTCATTTATTTTGAGCTGATATCTTTAATTGGTTATCTCCCGTAAAGGAGGATCCGACTTCTTACACAGGCCTGAGAACACAGGTGACCACTGCACAGGGCAGAAGTCGCCATCGATTTGAAGGAACCCAGCCCTACGCAGGTGAGACACCAGGGCACAGCGCTGACCGGACGTGGAATTCAGCACACACCCCGAGGCCTCCAGTGCCACCACTGGTGTCTCTGAAATACACGAGGATGTTAATAAAAAGGCCCAAATAAAAAGACAGAGTGAAATGCTGCCAACAGGGTCAGATGTGACCCCGTGGTTAATGCGGCTGGATGTCACATGACTGATTATGTGGTTGGAGTCCCGGCCTTGGGGGCTGAAAAACGTGCTGAGTGCATGTGTGTGCACACCCCAGGACAGCAGGAGGAAGCGTGGTGCAGGAACTGTGGCATGGCCATAGCCCTTGGAGGGTGCTTTTGCACCTTCGCTCTCTCAGTCTTTCCAGAGACAGCATGTACCTGCTGGGGGGAAATAAAATAAAATAAATAAATAAATAAATAATCCTGCCACCCTAAGACCTAATTCATAAATCAGGAAGAAGTAAGTACTCCAAGATGCCAAGAACTCAGTTCAGGCCCACAGAAACATAAGAAAACACCTCTATTCAAAGGAACACACCAGGGAACCAGCAGGTAGCGTAATGGCTATGTCGCTGGACTCCCATGTAGTCGACCGTGGTTCGCGTTCCGGACCCGGTGGCTTAAAACTCACACCGGGCGTATGTGCGTGCGTGCCCAAGATCCCAAGAGGAGAATGGAGGAGAAGGGATTGCAGCGTGACCATCCCCCCTGGGGGGTGATTTCTCGCTTTCTGTCTCTATGTCTCTCTCTGTCTATCTGGTGAGCGCACGTGCCCTATAGTTAACCTCTCAAAAAAAAAAAAAAAGAAAGAAAAAGGAACATACTAACTCCACACTAACGGTGGACAAAATGCAAGAAATCACTGCACTGTCAGATAGGGGTTTGAGAATCTTGATTATAATAAAACTGAATTAGATACAAGAGAACACAAATTATTTCAGGAAATGGGAAAATAATGCATGATATAGAAGAGAGAATCAATAGGGAGGCAGACATCTTAAAAAACATCCTGGAGATAATGAGTACAACACAGGAATTTTTATTTATGTATTTATTTTGATTGGGTAGAGACAATCAACAACAGATTGGACCATCTAGAAGAAGGAATCTCTGACCGTGAACACGGACTCTGAAACAGCTGTGAGAAAGATAAACTTGCCATTGAAAGTGAAGAGAACACAGAGCAGCCTGGGCTGGTGGTTAAGACAGCTGGCTCTCACATGGCTGGGTGCGTGGTTTGAGTCCAAGGCCCAGTGACTTGAGAAGGGCACCGCGTATACCTGGGAGTGAGTCCACAATCCTGGATGGAGGGAGAAATGGAGGAGAAGCGGTTGCAGCATGACCGTCCTCCATGGGTTGGTCTGATCACTTTCCCTCTTTTTCAGTCCAGTGAGCACATATACCCTCTGGCAAATCTTAGAGATAAAAAGAAAACATTTGAGACATCTGGGACACCATTTGATGATGAAATAGCTTTATAATGGCTATCCAAGAAAGTCAAAGAGACGGGAGAGCACAGAAGACCGATATCATGAAACGTGAGCCGAAACTCAAATAGAAGAGAAATATAGACATCTACGTCTAGAAAATTCAAAGGGCGCCAAACAGAATCAACATAAATCTTTACCAGAGTACGTTATAATCACGATGCAAAAGGTCACGATATAGAGAAAATTCTAAAAAGGTCTAGAGATGAAGGCCAACTTTCCTATAAAGGACAACTCGTAAGACGAACCTCAGACCTCTCAGCAAAAATCTCACAGACTGAGATGGAGTGACATGACTTTTTAAAAATTATTAAAGAGAAACAGTTTCAACCAAGAATACTCAGAAAAACTTTCCTTTAGATTTGAAGGAGAAGTGAAATCCCAGACAAACAAAAAGTAAAAGAAGTCCCCAGTACCAGACCAGCTCTTTAAGAAATGTACAGGGGAATACCACATTTGGAAGTGAAAGAAAATCAATAATGCCATGGGAAGCAGGTGAAGCTATAAAACTGACCTGTAGAATGATCAGACACAGGAAAAAGAGAAAGGATCAGGCCCTTTGACTGTGGAAAATTGACAGAAGAGAAGAAGAAATACTAAAACACCCGCTCATGAACCAACCAACAGAATGGCAGTAAATCTGTACATATCAAAAATACTGTTGAATCCAAGTACGTGAAATATGCAAGTCAAAAGGTGTAGATGGGCTGAGTGGATTTTTTTCTTATAGTGTGTTTCTTGCTTTCTTTTCTTTTTGCTATAGAGGTTTTTGCTATGGGTCATGTGCACTTGCCAGAAAGACAGAGAGAGACAGAGAGACAGAAAGCGAGAAATCACCCCCCAGGGGTGATGGCCACGCCACAATCCCTTCTCCTCCATTCTCCTCTCAGGATCTTGGACACCCATGTACATGCGCCTGGCATAAGTTTAAGCCACTGGGTCTGGGACTCGAACCATGGTCAACTACATGGGAGTCCAGTGACATACCCATTACGCCAGCTGCTAGTCCCTCTTGCAAGTTCTCTCTCTGCAAGAAACACACCTCACTGGTAAAGACACACACTTATGCCCAGTCCGTATTCAGTGTTTTTCCACATATAAGGGACTGTTTGCTAGTTTACACACTGGGTAATTCAAGTTTGGAGATAAAATGTTAAGAAAAATGATACAGGCTTTGAAGTTTCTTTTGCCTTCTAGGTGTGTGCGTACAGAATAGAGCATTTCATCAAACCACGGTATTTATTGGCTTTGCTGCTGTCTATTTTAATTCCTGCTTTTCTTTCCTTCTCCTCTTCCAGATAAACAAGCTTGAGGCGCGCCTGAGGCAGGTGGGATGCACAGATGATAAAGGGGTTCGCAGGAAGGACGAGGAGCGCTGGACGAAGGAAGACTGCATTAGCTGTGTCTGTGAGGTATGAGCTGCCAGAAGCCTTTCATCCTCTTCCTCCCGTTTCACTTGTCCTAGCCAGCCAGTTGAAAAATACCTGAAAAAAACAAAAAAGGTTCTGGGCATATTTTCAAGATCAAGACTGTGCAAGACTGATGTAAATATAACTACCATGTAATGATCGCTTGCCGCATACAATGTGGACATCGTACGCAGTCACTCACAGACCAAGGAACTGAGCTGGCGGGATCTCGTGGAAGCTCCCTGAAAGTCACACATGTAAACTGAGGCACCCCGACAGGTTAGCTTGTCTCACTGGCCTCGGAAACACTGCCGGAAAGCACTGAGTCAGCTACACAGCCCTATAAAAACATCTTGAAAAGTGCTATTATGGTATCTAGAAACCAAAAATGCTCACCTTCTGTCATTTAGTTTGTGTCTGAGCAGAGCTGACTCCCCAGCTACAGAAACGTGTGAACTGCCTCACACATGCCCTGTCATGCAGTACCGTGGGTCACACTTTACGGGGCGACACTTCAGCCTCGCTCTTCTTTCTGCAGATGTGTTGGAAGAAAAAAGGAAGAGAATCCGTAGACACAAAGCAGTTGGGGCCGTGATCCATTTCTACCGTGTTGAGATAGTCAAGCTGTGAGGGTGTGTTCTGGAGGGAACGTGTTGCCTTCCTTGCAGTAGTCTCACATCTCACTGTAGGCAACATGCAGTAATGTGTGGGTGTTGCCTTTCAGAGTGCCCAGGTCACCTGTGTGGTCAACACCTGCCTCCCAGCTCTGTGTTCGAGTCCCAAATTGGTGAAAGGAACCTGCTGTCCTGTTTGCAGAGACTGAGAAATGCCAGCTGACCCTCCAGAGAAATCCCGACTGTTCTCTGCTCGCACACCGTGACGGGAGTTTCTCAGGAAGTGACCCTTGGACTTCAGCAGTTTTACCCTGTAGCCACATCCTTCTTAAGAAGTTAGTTCATTTACACTTTAGATATACCGAATCTCTTTCTTCTCAACTTCTAGCATACCTTGGGATAATGCAAGTCAAGTGCATAGGGATTATTTGATCTCGAGATACATTTTGTATTGTAAGTTTTATATGCCACGTGTGGAAATAAAAAGAATAATGTAATATTCTTAAAAACATGAGTAGTGTGTACACTTTCTAATTTCAGAGAGATTTCACCATCTGTAGGAATTTTGATCTAGGGAGAACGAGTTTTGCATTTAGAGAGAACATCTGGAAAGGTTGGGATTACTTTGGGACAATGTTTTACTGCTGTTCTCCCTAGATCAAGAATCAGTCTTCAGATTTTGCTGGGAAGATACTCACCTTCACCTTCACTTCTTACCTCCTGGGACATTAGGGAAGAGTCTGCACAAGAGTGTCTTTACTGTAGGGAGTTCATCAGTTTCCTGCGTGTCTGCAAAATGCCAGCTCTGTGAGGAGAAGCAAGTCCAAGCAGCAAGCAGATTACCTTCCTTTCCTCACTTGTTATTATTACCTCCGGTGAGAGGTCAAAATGGAAACATGGTCATGTCTGAAATCGACAAGCGATCTGAAGTTACTATCAGCGAAACTGGAAGTGTCTTGATTTTAATAAGTGATTTTACTAAAGGGTCTACTAATTTTGTGTTTCAAGTGTTGAAATGCAACCCAGAGATGAATAGGCCTAGTCATACTCAGAACTGAGTATTAGGTCAATAGATCATTTTCACTTAAGACTAGATAAATACCTTTAAAATACGACATTAAAACATGCACTCATATTTGAGGATGGGCTTCAGTGCTTAGCAGATTTTCTTTAAAAATATTTTATGCTGGGGGCGAACTGGTGGCATAGTGCTTAAGGCCTTGGACTCCCATGTAGCTGACTGAGGGTCAAATCCTGAACCCAGTGGCTTGAAACTCACGCAGGGCATGTATGCATGTGCACATGCCCACAATCCTGAGAGAAGACTAGCAGAGACAGGATTGCGGTGCGGCCATCCCCCTGGGGGTGATTTCTTGCCTTTGTCTTTGTCTCCATCTGGTGAGTGCACGCGCCCCAGAGCAAAAATATTTTTTAAAAATTTGCTTTATGATAAAACTTTTGAGAAGAAGGTTCTTGAAATGTCCTGCTGTCACAGGCTCTCAGGGGGTAGTGCTGCTATTTTCCAAGTATGAAGTGGACTTTTACAAACAGGCAGTTTCCCTATATTTAGTCATTTTGGTCACTGCAGTACTAATCAGTTTTAGTCAGAACATTCTCACGGCTTTTAGTAAGGAAAAAGTTTCTGCACTTTGATAATATAGCTTATTGTTTTTTAAATGAGTGATTCTCTCTCAGTATCCCACATAATTTCTTCTAAAAATGTCTTGATGGACAAAACTTAGTATGTCTGAAAATTTTTTTATGTTTTATGGCTTTTCTAAATCCAAACTAATTTGTAGTTATATTAGGTTTTGAAACATAAAATCTATCAAACCCCAGAAGCTTGACATCGGTGTCCTTTTAAAACCCAACGATGTGAAGTGAAGCTAACAGTTAAAGAAACAGAATAGGACCCTCAGAAATAGTCACAGCAAACTCACTACAAATGACAGCAACAGGCAACCTTTGCAAATTTAGGTTTCTTATCATATTCATTTGTTATTTTTTCATCTTACTGAAGTTCAAGGAGGACACACTGATTATTCGTACTTCTTTTCCTTAAAAAAAAAAAAAAAGATTTTGCCATAAGCCGTATGAACTGGCTGGAGAGAGGGAATGTGAGAAATCACCCCCTGGGGGAGATGGCCACACCACAATCCCTTCTCCTCCATTCTCCTCTCAGGATTTGGGGCATGCATGCACATGTACCCAGCATGAATTTTAAGTCACTGGGGGCAGGACTCGAACAGTGGTTGGCCGTGTGGGAGTCTAGTGCCTTAACCACTGTGCCACTCGTGACCTTACTGTATTTCTTTATATGTACTGACTACACGTAAACTTGGGTGTCCACTTGTGAATATGTTTGGCTAATTAAAAATAATCAAATAGCATGAGGCCAGCAGGTGGTGTGGTGGTTAAGGTGCTGGACTCTCACATGGCAGGCCATGGTTTCAGTCCCAGACCTGGCAGCTTGAAAATCATGTTGGGTGCTTGTGCCTAAAAAACCAGGAGGGGGACCAGCAGTTAGCGTAATGACTATGTCGCTGGACTCCCATGTAGTCGACCACGGTTCGCGTCCTGGACCCGGTGGCTTAAACTCATGTCGGGCGCATGTGTGTGCGTGCCCAAGATTCTGAGAGGAGAATGGAGGAGAAGGGATTGCGGTGTGGCCATCCCCCCTGGGGGGGTGATTTCTCGCTTTCT